TCTGTCTAGCCTACGAGCAAAGGTCCGTGCGGTCTGGTGACTCTTTCATTGACCTCGTTGGCGGGAACATCTACATAATATGAAATATGGCATACGCTTCCATGGAAGTCATTCACAGCTTCCAAGGAAGCCCACGGAAGCTCGCCACGCTTCCGTGGAAGTTCAATGTACTTCTTCTATGGAAGCCACTTAACTTCCATGGAAACCGTATGGAAGTTGCGTGGCGGATTCGCGCGACAGCTTCTTCGATGTGGCTCCATGAAAGCATGTGCAACTCCCATGGAAGTCGATCGGTTTCCATGGAGCAGCGGGTGGTTGCTTCCATGGATTTCTCGTCTTCAACTTCCACGGAAGTGCGAAGGCCTTCCATGGAAGTAAGACTTTCATGGAAGTCCGTCCATCGATCCCCTCCACAATACTGAAAGAAGTACATCTACTTCCACGAAAGCAACTTCCATGGAGGAAACGTTGTAACGGCTGGACAGCTAACTTCCATGAAAGATAGCAGCTTCCATGGCAGCAAAGTCCACGCAAGGGCTCGTCTCAATTCCTGGGCAGCTTCTATGGAAACTCGGCAACTTCCATGGAAGCCAGTCCAACCACTTCCATGGAAGTGTTTGAATTTGACGTTACGGGCAGACGACCTAAACACCAACTCCTGTCCTGATAAACAGAGACCAGTGATGAACCAAGCGTGAACCAAACCACGCGAAACCCACCTATAATCAATTGGGAAAGCACCCCGAATTGACTCTATACCAAACCCTAACCCGAACCTAAACAACACAGCGGATTGCAACGTTCGCACACGTGGCAGACTCTAGGCTCATCAACTGGGAAATCACTTCCCCGCTGCTGGTCATGGAAGTCAAATATTATGCTTCCATGGAGTGAGGATGTCCGAATATGGCCTACTTCCATCGACGTCCATGGAAGTGGGTGTAATCGACTTCCGTAGGAGCACAACAAGCGACTTCCATGGAAGCTAGCTGAATTCCACACACGTTCATGGAAGTTGCTTCCATGGAAAATGCTCGGGAACCCCCCGCAATGTAAACTTCCGCGGAAGTCGCCCACACTTTCATGGAGGAAGTCGTTCGCGAGCTTCCATGGAAGGATAACTTCAACCAAGTTCCATGGGAAAACCAATACTACTTCCTTCCATGGAAAATCATGGGTACTCCTATGGAAGCTTCACACGTTTGTCAAATACTGAAGGAGATTGTCCTAGCACGGCCGTGGTGTCGACGTTGATCTTGAAACTCGCAATGTCTTCCGGTGCTTCTAGCCCCCCCCTCCCCGGTCCCCCCCCCTCGGTGTTTGCCATCGGGATTGGGTTTTCGTCGCTTGGCAACGACGTTATAAAGCAAGCC